CGCTGCTCCAAGTCCTCACGTGCATGACCTCCCTCGATGCGTTGGGGCTCACAGCACGTACCTGGCAAAGTCGGGGTGCAAAGCAGGCTTCTGCTTCTCTTAAAAAGAGATCCGGAAGAAGTCTCCCTAAATTAACAACAGTGGTGACCTCTGGGAGAGAACCAGCTGTAGAGTTTTAGTTTTCATAAGGACAGTGTGTTTCTTGTGTCACAAAGATGACCCATGGATTCACATCGATTTCTGTGATATTTTCTATTGCTGTGTAACCCGTTGCCACAGACTCAGTGGCTCAGCCCGGTGCCACCCACGATCTGCACCCTCACGACTTTCCTCGAGTCCGTCAGAGAGCTCAGGTTGCAGGCGAGACACTCAGACACAGGGGACAGTCTTTCCCGAGGAGAAATGGCCCAGCCTCGCTCACCTGCAGCGGGTGCGGAACAGCTGGCTGGCAAGGGGGTGGGGGCAGGTGGGGGCGGGGTGGAAGCAGGGGAATGTGCACGGCAGGCTCTTCGTGGACCCCCCTGGATGGTGGGAGATTGAGGGAGCAGCTGAAGGTCTGGGAGCTGCCTGCGAGCCAAGCCTGGGGGTGGGGGTTGCAGCAGCTGCAGAACAGGGCCCCGCATTGCAGGGGGAGGGCGGGGAGGGGAGAGAGGAGCTTTTGAAGCATGACAGAAAGAAACTTTAGAAACGCTTGGTGGAGCGAACAGCCCTAGGTGTCCACTTATTTAATTGAATAGAAAATGGAGAATGTTGGTTAGTTAGAAAGCCTTTCTAATGAATTTTGGTTTCTGAGAGTTCTGAAACGTTTACTTGACTCACTTCTAAAAATAACTGATTAATTAATTTGGGGCCCAGCGGTGAAAAGGAAGGCTTCTCTGGTCTTTAGCCAAAAATGTCCTTAAACCGGCCGTAGTGACAGCGCCAGCAGCAAACGCAGGCAGCAGTGTTCTAAGACTCCTTCTCGGGCTAACTCAGTTACTTCTCAGGACAATCCCATGAATTAGGTCCTAATGTTTATTCCCGTGTGTGGGGACACGGAGGTAACCAACTCACCCAGAATCTCACCGCGTGTCCCACGTGGAGTGAGGCAGGATTTGAACCCAGGTCGGAAGGTGCCCCCCGGAGGCCTGTGTGAAGTCTTGCAGCAGGCAAAAAAAACGGGGCGAGGGGACTTCAGTCTGTGCTTGGGGCACCCCTGGACGCCAGCAGTTACATCATCAGCTCCAGCGGCCCTCGCCAGCAAATCCTCAGAAACACCTGCGCTCCAGAGCAATAATATGGTGCCATTCACAGATATCGGAAACGAAACGGTGATTTGTATTGTGACACTGTGGCAAAAATATAAAATTGTAATCCTTGATTTACACTTGTATTTGGCTCAGAGGAACAAAACAGAATGAAAATGGGGAGGAGACCGTAGGGAACTTCAACCCCCCCGCTGCCATAACGTCTTGTTATAGCTCACGCGTACACTTCTGTATTTTTTAATTAAAAGTTATGTTCGTTACAGAAAATATATAAAGTAGATAGAGGGATAACAATAAAAATCGCCTGCAGACGGAGGTGCCGTCGTTCAGAACCTGCCGCTGCCCCACGCTGGTGTCTCTGCTGCCAGTGTTTGGAGAGCAGGTACATTTGCGAAAGAATAACATGCGAATATTCTTTACAAACTTGACTGTTGATGTCTCAAGAATATTGAATGTGTCAGAATTCATTTATGAATCGTATTTGAAATGTTTCCGGGAGCACGTAATCTCAGGAACCTCGTCAATGACGTTCGCGACTAAAGCCGGTTTGCCAGTTTGCAATATAGATTTGTTAGTGCTGAGTTCCTTAAAAGTCAGACACGAACTTTATTTTCAGAGAACCGGAGCCTTGAGGACTCACTCGCTCACTCAGCCGGCATTGACGGAGCATCTGCCACGGTCCAGGTCCCGTGAGAAGCCCCTTGAACTGGCAGCCACGTCCGACTCGGATGACTGAGTGGGGGTCTCTTCCAGGGGATTTTGCTGCAGCCCCTCGGAAGAAGCAGGGGAGACTCGGCTCTGCTCCCAAACTCTCGAGGGGTGCTGCAGGCTGGAGTAAAGAGGAAACATACATCCCCATCACCTTTCCAGCGCAGCGGGCGTTGGAATAACTTCCTGGTCGCTCTGGTCAAGCCCGTGCTTTTCGCCAGTGCAGGCAGAGGCCGTGCTCACCCTGGGGTACGTCTCGGCCAGCAGCCACCTCTGCTTTGACATCTGGAGCGGGACGTAGCATTCACAAAGCCTAAAACGTTCTTTCCAGAACCCCGCATTTCAGTGTGACAGCCAGAGAAAGAACAAAGCTAATTCTACAGACTCTGCCCCCAGAAAGTGGTGAGTGAACTGTCCTTTGCGCCCCTCAGCACCTCACACTCACTCGTCCCCACTGAGGATCCCTTACGGCCCTGTGAGTGCCTCGTGTCACTGCTCCTGGCCCAGTTGGGGTCACTGCTGTCCTTCAGTCAATCATTGCAGCGCAGGGGGTTACAGCACTCTGACCGGAAATGCCAGGTCTGGTGCCCGTGGGGAGGTCGGCCCTGCTGGAGCCACGGGACTGAGTCCGGCAAGGGGTGACTCCCTACAGAGGAGGCAAGACTCCGTTAACAGAAAAGCCTGCCTCCCCAGGTGAGCGGGCGGCAGGAGGCGTATTGCAGAGTGTGCGACGAAGGGGGACAGATTGTCCTGTATTTTGCTCATCGTGTGGACCTGTGCAGTAGCTCATTAGAAACGAGGATACTTGAGATGTGGAAATGCAGCCAGAGTGATCCTCCGCTGAGCAGCGAGCTCTGAGCAGCTGTGACTAGATGGGGCATCTTTGCAGCTAACGTGGGTTCGGCACAGTGTTTTGCTATCTGTGCTGTATAACTAACCACTCTGAACTTAGCGGCTTAAACCAACAGCAAACACTGTCTCGCAGGGTTTCTGAGAGTCTGGAACTGGGGTGTGGCTTACCTGGGTGGTTCCAGCTCAGGGTCTCCGAGGGTGTTGGTTGGGGCTGCGTCATCCGAAGGCTCAGCTGGGGCTGGAAGGTCCCCTTTCCAAGAAGGGCCCTCAGGCCTGGCGTGTTGGTGTAGGTGGCTGGCTGGGGCCTCGGTGCTCCCATAAGGGCCCCTCCACTGAGCCACACACGGCAGTACAGTTGAGAGAGGCAGAAGCCCAGGGCCTTTGGGACCGAGTTTCAACAGTGACGTGCCATCGCAGATGCGTGTTCTGTTGGTCCCACAGACCCATCGGTGCGGCGTGGGGCTCACGAAGGCATGGCTACCAGGAGGAGCAGGTCACTGTGGGGGCCGCTGGGGGTCACCGCAGCACGCGGAGCAGAAGGGGTCCCCAACTCCAGCAGGGGACCCCTCAGAAGGGCCACAGCACCACGGCAAGAGAGGATGACCAGGCGAGGAGTGGCCGGCCTGTGCCAGGTTCAGGGCCTGGGTGGGCGGGCGCCTCGGGGGAACGCGGCAAGTTCAGCGCCAGAGACGAGCAGAGGTCAGCAGGGAGCTGCCCGAGCAGAGCCGCTCCCCGGCCGTGCCCAGCGAGCGCCTGGGCACTGGGTGTGCCGTGGCAGGCAGCACACCCTGTCCTCACAGCGCTGCCTGTCTGGTGGGGAAGCGGATGCTGACCAGGTCATCTCAGCGACGTGGGGTCTGAAACGCAGGCGGAGAGCTCCACGAGAGAGCCTGCCAGGCAACCCGCCAAGGGCCAGGAACGTCCTCCACGGGCAAAACGCGCTCACGGTGGGAATTCACAACATAACACTGGCACGGGGCAGAGGGCTCCAGGGTGGAAGCCATGCAAAGGTCTCGCAGCATCCGCGGTGGTGCTTCTAGAAGCTTCAGTGGCTCCCACCACCTTCCAGATTAACCCCAAACTTGCTCCTCTGTTGAGGAGTGTCTGTAAATATTCATTGGTGTCCAGAACTTGTCACGCTCATCGCAAACACCCCATTTGTTCGGGAGGTGTTCTGGAGTGCCGGGCACTGGGCAGGTTCCGGCGGGGCGGTGGACGGGCACTCAGGCCCCCGCCCCGGATGCAGGAAGGACAGGCCGGCCTGGGGGGAGCTGGGCAGCTGGCAGGGGCTCGCCGATGGGCTGTCTGGCTGGGGACCCGTCTGCCAGGCAGCGGGGGGTCTTTAGGTCCCCTCTGCTGCTGACACCTGGGCCACCGACCCTGAGGAGCTAGGAGTCGACCAGGGTCTTCTCTGCCCTGGGGAGGCGAGTTCGCTTTTCCCAGGCTGTCCTCTAGAGGGTGCTCGAGGACCAGACACGGGCAGTGTCCCCAGTGCAGTCCTCCCGGGGCCCTCCCCAGGACAGCGGGGACCTCCCGTCCTGGGACCCACAGGGACCTCGGGTGGAGCTGGCTAACTGGAGCCCCCTGGCAATCGCTGGGCCGCCCCTGACCTGGGCTGAGGCGCTGGTGTGCACCACAGGCCCCCCGTCCCCCAACAGCTGGCCGTGAGGGCCCCTCCTCACTGTCCCTGCAGAGCCGCGCGGCCAGGAGCTCTCCCCACCCTGTGAGTTGGGATGGACACTGCACCCTGCCAGCCCACAAACCCATTCCTCGCAAATGCCAGCTCAGAGAGGAGTAAGGACCTTCCTTTTGTGCATGTGGGGACCCCAGCCAACACACCCGGGGGACTTCTCTCCACAGGGTCTACGGTCTTCCTTGTCCACTAACCGGATCCCCCGCCACCCCCACCCCCAGGCCAAGGCCTCTGGGGCCTCTGCTCACCTGCTTCCTTTTGGGGTACAGTGACATGCGGAGGGCAGTTTTCCATGGTAACCGTGAGAGATAGGCTGAGGGTACGTCTGCTCTGGGTGGCCTGGGAGCCACTTAGGTGAGGCATCGCGCTCAGGAGGGTGGCCTGGGAGCCTCACAGAGGCACCTGGCCCCTCCCCCTACATGGGCTCGGACTTTAGGGGCCCCAGGGACCTATACATTCAACTAGCTTCCAGGTGACTGAGGCGGGTATATTTGGGGAGCCACCCGGGAGGCTCCGGCAGTCCTGCTGTCCACAAGGTGGCTTCTGGATGGGGGGCTGGGGAATGCGGTGTGCCCCCCTCGCATTCCCGCACCGCTCTGCACACTTCGTCCCGGGGGCCCACGGGGCAGGCATCATTCCCAGTGGACCTACCTGTTCATTTACGAACCTTAATTCACGAAGTGGCCTCCGCCGGGTGCCACCCGCTTCTGCTTCCTCTTGATTCTCCAAAACGGGATCCCAGGCCGAATGAGGATTTTTCCTCCTATTTTGTTTTTAAGTCCCTTTTGAATTCTCACCCACACTTCTCCGGGGCCCCTCTGGCAAAACGCCGCCCTCCTTGCGGACTCGGCAGGCTGCTCAGCTCTCCTGGGAAAGCAGCCTGGCTTCCAGAGGCGTTAATGGGAAGCTCTTTCTCCTCGTTTTGTTCCCGGCCCCCCATCCCCGACTCATCGTCCCCTTTTCTCTGCCCGCCCGGACGGGACGGCCGGGCTTGTGCGGTTCGGGCGCCCGGTGGGTGGCTACAGCTGCTCTTGATAGACGTAGGGATTTGCTCTGACTCTGAGGACAGAAAGAGGAGGTCTGGTGTGGCGGGACCGTAGCCATCCAGAGGTCGGGCACACGGGTCCCAAGGGCCACCCACTCCAGGCTGAACTCAGGAAAAGCCGTTTCTGCAGTCTGGGCCTCGGCGTAGAAAGCTGTAAATGGGGGCTTCCCCCTGGAGGGCGACTGGGCGGGGAGTGGAGGGGGTGCAGCAAAGCCGCGGGCTCCGCACTGGGCGCGGGGTGGCGCTGACGCAGGCTT